TCAGAAGGGGCATCGGCCTCGTAACTTCCGAAGGAATTCGGCTTTCATCATCAGGCGTCGTAATTCTTCTAAATGAAGACCTGACTCCCAGGACAGAGTTTAAAACGTTTGAATAACTGTTTTCTGGTCAGCGTTTTTTTAGCGAGTTAGTTTTCTACGGGATGTGGACGCTAACCCTATGCCCAAACCTCCTCCTTTATCCAAGCTTGAGACCGGCAGTAGCCCCCGGAGGGATTCCAGGCGGAGTTGGTTTGTATAATATACAGTAGAAATAAGTATTTTTTATCTGATAAATGATTTGGATCTCAATTTGAAATGACAGAAAACACATTAGTAGCCCCAGTAGATGCTTTACGTGATGATGCCTTTGCTTTTTTCCAGAAAGATTACTTCAACTCAAAATAGCCACAGACTATGAACGGCAAAAACACTTCAATAATAAAACCGAATGACTTAGATACACTAACGAAAGAGATTATTTTCTTAGAATAAATCCAGAACCACTTTTTTTCGAATCAATCATAAAAGTTACTTTAAGCATTAGGCACAAAATCTACGAGTTTCTCAACGCATACAGATATATTAAAGACTTAGTAAGTATGAGAAATCCGAAGTAAAAACACAAGTAGTGTTCTTTCTGAAGCAACGGTCTCAACTGAATAACCCTGAACAAAAATGTTGAAGAAGCAAACATAATTGTTGTAACTTGATAAGAATCAAACAGGACAACACTATTGGCTTTACTTATCGCTAACAGTGTTGTTTTAGCCTAACACAGTGGAACGATACGGTATTCAAAAACTTGGATTGAGTCGCAAAGTCTAATTGGTATCTGAATATGTACCAGCACTCTGATAAGGCTGGATCATCAACGTTACGGTTACGTGATTATGGCTTGAAATGTTTTGGGAACTTCATTAAACCATAATTCCTTTTAACTCACTAATCAACTCATGCAACCAAATCACATTTCTTCATGTGTTATCAGTTTGTACTTTAACGACAGCATTGCTTTCGCTGAATCTATTTTTATTATGGAGTGTATACAGTCACCATTGATGGTGGTACTGTAAAATCGATACATTATGATTTATACATCCTTCATAAACTTCATCACTTCGTATTATTGGCAATTTAGTTTAAAATGTTCATTTTGAAGTGGAAAACACCACTTTAAACCAGTGGGATGATTGAAATATATACAAAGAGTATATCTGAACCTATTGACTAAACAAAAATTATTTAGTAAGCATAAAGAAATATTAGTTTTATGCACATCATGCCATTAACCTTTAAAACTTTACACTAATGTTTAGATAAGTAAAACTAAAGTACTTCTCAATGATGAAATCACCACATTCTAAATTATGAAAATGTAATCATGAAAGTAACAAAAAAGTAAACATTTTGTACAACAAAACAATGTGAAATAAACTAACGGCTAAGGTTATTTATAGTTCACTAATGAAAGATAATTAATTACATTAAAAACTAAAAATAAATATAAACAATTCTTATTTAATAATATGGTTGTTTCTAATTAGTATCATTACATATCTTTATGCTAAATGGTTGTCACATAATGGTACGAGAAACTTAAACAAAGCATGACTTTGAAGTACTAAATATAAGTAAACATTAACAGTCTACGCGTTTAATTACTAATAATAAACTGTTTGTTGTTAAAATAATCAGGAATAATTGACAATATTCTGTTCAGTAATTGGTTTTAAAACTTCATCTATAGTGAAAATAGACTGATAAACTTTCTTTTTATACGTAGAAATGTCTTCCATTTGCAATCATGTGTGCTAAGCTTGTTTTTTTGTTTGACTAACAAGAAAATGGTTAGATTACTTGGGAGTTTAATTAGTATACGGAAAACAATATCTTCATTGACCTGAGGAATTTCGCTTTGATCAAGTATACTAAACTAAGAAGTAAATTTAAACTATGGTGTCGCCTGATTATAGAACAAAAAACACACTGAAATATGAATGTAACAAAAGAACGAAAATAGTATTTTCTTTTGTATAAAACAATAGGAAAGAATCAACTGAAAAATCTGTTTGGTTAAAGAATAAAAGGAAGTTTGTGTAAATTGTTGAATTTTGTAGTTTACATTATGAGCTGATCTTGGTTAAATAGCCGATGAAAAACATACAGCATTGGACAACTAATTTCTAGCTAGTATGAGACCGTTTAAAGGTGGGTATTCACAACCTCACTGGAGATCGAACTCATAACTTACAGTAATTGTTGAGTTGGCATCTATAGGTTTACATTTCTAACTTCAATTAATTAGCGAAACCATATAAGAACCCAATATAAAGTCATTAATAAATTGTATAACGTTAACGAGCACCGGATAGCATATATTTCCTCAAGTTTAAATGTATTATAATACAAAAATTCAAAGTGACAAAAACATCATTAAAACTATGGTTGAGGAGTATTGACAGTTATGACTTTCTAACATTTATATGACCAAAGAAGGAAGTTCATAATTTCAAGTACAGTTAGTTCCGTTGATTGTTAATTCTACAAATCAACATTGTGTCAACTCCGTTTATTTATTACCCATTTTGATGCGGGGGAAATTCACATGAGTGAGTTACTTTGACTAATGAAAATTCACAATCTCATTGACTAATCTGCTTATTTGTGATTTAACCCGAGGGTACTCGAAAGTGTTGATCATCTAATTCACTGATTATAGAGACCACAAGCCCTCAACATCCCATTTACTTTCTTTGATTGGTACTCCATGTTGTGTGCTGATGATCTTGAAGTTAACCCTCGGCCTTGATCGCGTCCTGACTCTCCATGAAGACTTGTAGATCAAATGTGTTGGTGGTCGGTCTCATATAGTTGAGTGAGAACGACCTAACCTCCTAGCCTATGTTCAACTCACACGTATTGGTTGATACCTTGTTCGAATTACCCTATCATGATACTCAGGTATTGTGGCCTCTTTGGTAACAGCATAGAAGAGATAGAATCTTACAAAAACAATACCATGTACAATATCAACAAATTGTAGAGGCATTGGGTCCTAATCACATAATCCTTAAACTTATTTACTTACACCTGTTACTCCTCGTGAAGGAGCATAGGTCGCTCACCAGCATTCTCCATCCAACCCTGTCCTGGGCAATCCTTTCCAGCTCCTTCCAGTTGTAATTCATCCTTTTCATATCTGCTTCTATTATCCGACGTAATGTGTTCTTTGGCCTTCCTCTTTTCCGCTTCCCTTCAGGATTCCAAGTTAGAGCTTGCCTCGTGATGCAGTTTGACGATTCGCGTAATGTATGTCCTATCCATTTCCATCGTCTTTTCCTAATTTCCTCTTCAGTTGGAAGTTGGTTTGTTCTCTCCCACAGAAGGCTATTGCTGATGGTATCCGGCCAATGGATGTTGAGTATCTTGCGTAGACAGCTATTTATAAATACTTGTACTTTCTTGATTGTGGTTGTTGTAGTTCTCCAAGTTTCAGCTCCATACAGTAGAACTGCCTTGATGTTCGTATTGAAGATTCTCACTTTGATATTGGTTGAAAGTTGTTTTGAGTTCCATATGTTCTTCAATTGTAGGAATGCGGCCCTTGCTTTGCCAATCCTCGCCTTTACGTCTGCATCTGAACCTCCTTGTCTATCGACGATGCTTCCCAGATATGTGAAGGATTCTACATCTTCCAGAGTTTCGCCATCAAGGGTGATTGGATTGCTGTTCTCCGCTTTGAATGTGAGGACCTTGGTTTTTCCTTTGTGTATCCTTAAAGCTGAACACTATACAACTGGGAAACTAGACATTCATTATCCCACTGCGGAGAAAAACCCAACGATGGGGAAGGCGGGAAGAATGAATGGAATGGATTCGAATCGACCGGATGGTATGGCTCGGCCTTGTAGGCGTGGCTATCCTTGGGTGTTGTTATATACCTCTTACCCATATTAAATACATTGATCTATTTCTAGCCCAAGTGTGTTTATCATGTACTGACGATTGTTAAGATGCAATGAGATGGTGTAGACGATGACGTGACTTCCACGTAAGATTTTATAGATTAGGCAGTTATATCATGAGAAATCTAGAATTTTGTGATCAGGTCTATTACTAGAGCAGTACTATCATAATTGACCAGAAACCCAACATAGTAAAGAGTAATGAAACATTTATTACTGTGTACTATGTACCACAGTCCACTCTCTCCATTCTTGTTTAATTTTGTCGTTGACGTACTTATAGAGATAACACTTCCCTCATATAAATTTCTAAGGGTTGAACTTCTACCAGGAAATTCACTTGTTGACTTGGAATATACTACCTCTACCACTACGGGATTTGAATCGACAACTGCATCTCTGTTTTAAGGTGGTATGGCAACTTGAACTGATGTACGTATGTACGAAGTTCTACGTTGTTAGACTGACAGTAATGAAACAACCGCATGGACTAGTTCATGGAGTGTTTTCGATCGTTCCATGTTAGTTATCCTTACACTTGCCTAAGTTCAGTCACACAACTTGGATACAAAAAAAGGTTTGGTTACAAGTATGATTTGTCGCAAATTCAGTAAATTAATTCCTATTAGGATTGGGTGATCAGTCAATGAAAGTCTTATCTAATTAAGACAGATGATACTAATTTTAACAAGGATTTTAGTAATCGTTTCAGTTCGACGTGTATTTACTAATCCCTCATGAAACCTAATGCATAAAAATAAAGATAAGTCGAAAACAATAGTCATAAATACGAAATTATTTATTTATTCATGCGCATTGCCAAGATGAGTAGACATCACAAATGATACACTGTAAAATACGTTTCCAATATTATTTAAACAAATACATAATGTTTTTTATTAAATAAGGCAAGAAATTCTTGTGGAATAGATGGAGGAATCAGAATAGTCCATAAAATGCAACTTATGGAGAATATTATCTCCAAACGAACCCATTTCACACGTACACATTGTAAGTTGAAAATGATCACAAATGTTAAGTAGGAGAAGAATTAAGCTCATGCTGTGTGTATAAACTAACTATTGTTTTTGAAAAATAATTTCGAGCTTTGTTACGTGATAGTTTCATTGTTGGAGTCAATAAGCCATTGTCTACCGTAAACGCCTCGTCTGTCAAGTAAATTGCCTGGACCTGTCAGTACAAAAATTCAGAAAATATAAATCAGACACATAATTACTTCAGACTATACGAAAAGAGATTTCAATACATGGTTTGCATAATATAAAGTAGAAATAAGTATTTTTTTATCTGATAAATGATTTGGATCTCAATTTGAAATGACAGAAAACACATTAGTAGCCCCAGTAGATGCTTTACGTGATGATGCCTTTGCTTTTTTCCAGAAAGATTACTTCAACTCAAAATAGCCACAGACTATGAACGGCAAAAACACTTCAATAATAAAACCGAATGACTTAGATACACTAACGAAAGAGATTATTTTCTTAGAATAAATCCAGAACCACTTTTTTTCGAATCAATCATAAAAGTTACTTTAAGCATTAGGCACAAAATCTACGAGTTTCTCAACGCATACAGATATATTAAAGACTTAGTAAGTATGAGAAATCCGAAGTAAAAACACAAGTAGTGTTCTTTCTGAAGCAACGGTCTCAACTGAATAACCCTGAACAAAGATGTTGAAGAAGCAAACATAATTGTTGTAACTTGATAAGAATCAAACAGGACAACACTATTGGCTTTACTTATCGCTAACAGTGTTGTTTTAGCCTAACACAGTGGAACGATACGGTATTCAAAAACTTGGATTGAGTCGCAAAGTCTAATTGGTATCTGAATATGTACCAGCACTCTGATAAGGCTGGATCATCAACGTTACGGTTACGTGATTATGGCTTGAAATGTTTTGGGAAATTCATTAAACCATAATTCCTTTTAACTCACTAATCAACTCATGCAACCAAATCACATTTCTTCATGTGTTATCAGTTTGTACTTTAACGACAGCATTACTTTCGCTGAATCTATTTTTATTATGGAGTGTATACAATCACCATTGATGGTGGTACTGTAAAATCGATACATTATGATTTATACATCCTTCATAAACTTCATCACTTCGTATTATTGGCAATTTAGTTTAAAATGTTCATTTTGAAGTGGAAAACACCACTTTAAACCAGTGGGATGATTGAAATATATACAAAGAGTATATCTGAACCTATTGACTAAACAAAAATTATTTAGTAAGCATAAAGAATATTAGTTTTATGCACATCATGCCATTAACCTTTAAAACTTTACACTAATGTTTAGATAAGTAAAACTAAAGTACTTCTCAATGATGAAATCACCACATTCTAAATTATGAAAATGTAATCATGAAAGTAACAAAAAAGTAAACATTTTGTACAACAAAACAATGTGAAATAAACTAACGGCTAAGGTTATTTATAGTTCACTAATGAAAGATAATTAATTACATTAAAAACTAAAAATAAATATAAACAATTCTTATTTAATAATATGGTTGTTTCTAATTAGTATCATTACATATCTTTATGCTAAATGGTTGTCACATAATGGTACGAGAAACTTAAACAAAGCATGACTTTGAAGTACTAAATATAAGTAAACATTAACAGTCTACGCGTTTAATTACTAATAATAAACTGTTTGTTGTTAAAATAATCAGGAATAATTGACAATATTCTGTTCAGTAATTGGTTTTAAAACTTCATCTGTAATGAAAATAGACTGATAAACTTTCTTTTTATACGTAGAAATGTCTTCCATTTGCAATCATGTGTGCTAAGCTTGTTTTTTTGTTTGACTAACAAGAAAATGGTTAGATTACTTGGGAGTTTAATTAGTATACGGAAAACAATATCTTCATTGACCTGAGGAATTTCGCTTTGATCAAGTATACTAAACTAAGAAGTAAATTTAAACTATGGTGTCGCCTGATTATAGAACAAAAAACACACTGAAATATGAATGTAACAAAAGAACGAAAATAGTATTTTCTTTTGTATAAAACAATAGGAAAGAATCAACTGAAAAATCTGTTTGGTTAAAGAATAAAAGGAAGTTTGTGTAAATTGTTGAATTTTGTAGTTTACATTATGAGCTGATCTTGGTTAAATAACCGATGAAAAACATACAGCATTGGACAACTAATTTCTAGCTAGTATGAGACCGTTTAAAGGTGGGTATTCACAACCTCACTGGAGATCGAACTCATAACTTACAGTAATTGTTGAGTTGGCATCTATAGGTTTACATTTCTAACTTCAATTAATTAGCGAAACCATATAAGAACCCAATATAAAGTCATTAATAAATTGTATAACGTTAACGAGCACCGGATAGCATATATTTCCTCAAGTTTAAATGTATTATAATACAAAAATTCAAAGTGACAAAAACATCATTAAAACTATGGTTGAGGAGTATTGACAGTTATGACTTTCTAACATTTATATGACCAAAGAAGGAAGTTCATAATTTCAAGTACAGTTAGTTCCGTTGATTGTTAATTCTACAAATCAACATTGTGTCAACTCCGTTTATTTATTACCCATTTTGATGCGGGGGAAATTCACATGAGTGAGTTACTTCGACTAATGAAAATTCACAATCTCATTGACTAATCTGCTTATTTGTGATTTAACCCGAGGTCAGTTATATATCATAAATACTAATTTGTTTGTTTGTTTGTCGACTGGTACGAAACATACATAAATAAGAACAGGATTGAGTATTTAAATTACGATTACAATTTTTAAATCATTCGTTACAAACCTTTTCAAAACCCTTCAACAGTTTTAGTGTCGCTATGGTATTCATTTCCTCCAAAACGAATTTATTAACAGTTTCATTTCGACAGAGTTCAGAATCCAGAAGCTTTTTATGATCCTGCAGTACCTTACTATTGCTTAGAGCGGAACGCAATTCAGTAAAATCTGGAACTACTATCGCAACTGGGTAATTTTTTTGACTGTTACCATCCACAAATACTTGACTTGTTAATTTGCAAGTTTGATAAGCCATTTCTATTTTTTCAGGTGCAATATATTCACCTTGCGCTAATTTGAATATACTCTTTACACGGTCCACAATTTTGAGTGAACCTTCCTGTTGTAAAATAAATAAATACATGTTTATGTTAATGAAGTAAATGATTCAAGTAATTTTAGATAGATTCTGTTTATTAATGATTTCAGATAAGCCAAATAATGCAAGGAACTATAGCTTACTTTTTGATAGAAAGTAGATCATAATTCAACATGAATGTTTAAATTCTATAATATATCAGAAAATTCGCTTCTAAGTATTTAAAAATTCTTAACCATCAGTCAAAAAATCACTTATACAGGAAAGTAGTTAGCAAATTAAACTCAATGACTACATAAGTTATTGAAAATTCGTAGCTTCATCTCTGTAGTTAACTACTGAAGGATGAAATAGACATGAACTTTGACCATTTTAGCTGGTAAAATTTTAAAATGGCTTCAAATTAGGACCGTTAACAAACGAAGTTAGGGGTACAAAACGTCGTCATCAAGTGAAAGGTGAAAAATAATCCTTTTATTACCACACCTGGCATAAATCCGGTATACTGATGATCCCAATATAACACAGAATTATAAGGACTGCCTTCAAAATAAAATAAATTTCAGTTAGTGTTGACACGCACTGTGATAAATACAGTAAGTGATTTTTCTGAAAAGCGATTTCTCATCTCATTTGGCTAGTTGTTAGTAATCTCAACAAATATCCATCGGCAAAGTTTCTAAAAACGATTTATTCAATCAGCACTGCATAGACACCCTCCAAACAAATCTAGAGAAATGTAGGATTGTTTCACATTTTGATTGGATAATTACTTATAACAGAAATAGTACATTCATAAAATCTCAATAAGTAGGAAATTACATTTCCAACGTTTCGTGACTTGGTGTAAGTCACTTTTCAGAGAACATAACCATCATTTTTTTCAGTGTTCAAATAAACGTGCAATAAACTGGCGTTTTTGAGCATTCTTGCGTTCATTTAATTAATCAATGGTGAATATAAGAGTAGAATTTTCATTTGTGGTTTTAATTTAAATCACCTAAAACTATTTGCATGCACATCTCACATCACTAACAACCACATAAATATTTTTAGATTTACTCTTCAACAATACAACTCCGCCTGGAGTCCCTCCGGGGGCTACTGCCGGTCCCAAGCCCGCATAAAGGAGGAGGGTTGGGCATGGGGTTAGCGTCCCCATCCCGTAGAAAACTAACTCGCTAGAAAAACGCTAACCAGAAAAAATTATTCAAACCTTTTAAACTCTGCCCTGGGAGTCAGAAGGTCTTCATTTAGAAGAATTATGACGCCTCATGATGAAAGCCGAATTCCTTCGGAAGTTACGAGGCTGATGCCCCTTCTGAAAACCAGAGCAACCATTTATTTAGGTACATGGAATGTTCGTACAATGTGGGACACCGGGAGAGCCTTCCAAACAGCTGCAGAAATGAGGAGATACAACCTAGAGGTACTTGGGATCAGTGAAACACATTGGATGAAAGTTGGACAACAATGACTAACTTCAGAGAAGCTTCTGTTATACTCCGGCCATGAAGAAGAAAATGCTCCACATACACAAGGAGTTGCATTGATGCTGTCCAAACAAGCACAAAATGCACTTATAGGATGGGAATCTCATGGACCAAGGATCATCAAAGCCTCGTTCAAAACAAAGAAAGAGGGCATTTCAATGAACATCATCCAATGCTATGCGCCTACCAACGACTACAATGAAGACGCTTAAGATCAATTCTACAATAGGCTGCAGTCAATCGTCGAGAAGTGCCCAACAAAGGACCTGACTATTCTGATGGGAGATTTCAACGCCAAGGTTGGAACGGACAACATTGGGTATGAAGACATCATGGGACGACACGGACTTGGAGAAAGAAACGAAAATGGTGAGAGATTTGCAAACCTATGTGCCTTCAATAAGCTGGTCATAGGCGGCACCATATTCCCACATAAACGCATACACAAAACCACATGGACTTCACCGGATCACTCTACACAAAACCAAATCGACCATTTTTGCATCAACAAAACTTTCAGGAGGACTATAGAGGACGTGAGAACCAAGAGAGGAGCTGATATAGCATCGGATCATCACTTACTGGTCGCCAAGATGAAATTGAAACTCAAGAAGCACTGGACAACAGGGCGGACAATATCACAAAAGTTCAATACGGCTTTTCTCCAGGATACTAACAAACTCAACAAATTCAAGATAGTCCTCAGCAACAAGTTCCAGGCCTTTCATGATCTACTCAATGGGAAAGGAACTACTGTGGAGAGCAACTGGAAGGGGATCAAAGAGGCAATCACTTCAACATGTCATGAGGTCCTGGGTCACAAGGAATGGATCACTGTTGATACACTAGATAAGACGGCGGAAAAGGCTGCAAGAGAAGGAATAAGATTCAAGAAAGGAGGAACAAGAAGGCAGCAATCAATACCAGTCGAACAAGAGCAGAAAAAGCCAAGGCACAAGCTGAATAAACAGAAGTAAACAAACAAGTTAAGAGGAGCATCAGAACCGACAAACGTAAATATGTGGAAGATTTAGCAACGACGGCGGAAAAGGCTGCAAGAGAAGGAAACATGAGACAATTGTATGACACGACACAGAAACTCTCTGGAAATCGCCGCAAACCAGAACGACCAGTGAAAAGCAAGGAAGGCGAGGTAATCACCAACATTGAGGAGCAACAAAATAGGTGGGTAGAACACTTCAAAGAACTCTTGAATCGACAAGCTCCACTGAACCCACCCAATATCGAAGCAGCACCCACGGAACTCCCAATCAATGTTGGCCCACCAACAATTGAAGAAATCAGCATGGCCATCAGACAAATCAAGAGTGGCAAAGCAGCAGGACCGGACAACATCCCAGCAGAGGCACTAAAAGCAGACGTAGAGGCAACTGCAAGGATACTCCACATTCTCTTCAATAAGATTTGGGATGAGGAACAAGTACCAAAAGACTGGAAAGAAGGACTTCTGATCAAAATACCGAAGAAAGGCGATCTCAGCAAGTGTGATAACTACAGGGGCATCACTCTTCTCTCGATACCAGGAAAAGTCATCAACAGGGTATTGTTAAACAGGATGAAGGACTGCGTAGACGCCCAACTCCGAGACCAACAGGCAGGATTCCGTAAGGATAGATCGTGTACAGACCAAATCACAACTCTACGGATCATTGTGGAACAATCAATTGAATGGAATTCATCACTCTACATCAACTTCATTGACTACGAAAAGGCATTTGACAGAATGGACAGAACAACATTACGGAAACTTCTTCGACACTACGGCGTGCCTCAGAAGATAGACAATATCATGCAGAACTCATATGATGGATTACACTGCAGAATCGTGCATGGAGGACAGTCGACAAAGTCGTTCGAAGTGAAGACCGGTGTTAAGCAAGGTTGCCTACTCTCACCCTTTCTCTTTCCCCTGGTGATCGACTGGATCATGAAGACGTCAACGCCTGAAGGGAAGCGCGGGATACAATGGACATCTAAGATGCAGTTGGATGATCTAGACTTCGCAGATGATCTGGCCCTTCTATCCCAAACGCAACAACAGATGTAGGAGAAGACGAACAGTGTGGCAGCAGCCTCAGCAGCAGTAGGTCTCAATATACACAAAGGGAAAAGCAGGATTCTCCGATACAACACAGAATGCACCAATCTAATCACAATTGACGGAGAAGATTTGGAAGATGTAAAAACCTTTACGTATTTGGGCAGCATCATTGATGAACAGGGTGGATCTGATGCAGATGTGAAGGCGCGGATCGGCAAAGCAAGAGCAGCATATTTACAACTGAGGAACATCTGGAACTCAAAGCAACTGTCAACTAATACCAAGGTCAGGATTTTCAATACAAATGTCAAGACAGTTCTACTGTATGGGGCAGAAACCTGGAGAACTACAAAAGCCATCATCCAGAAAATACAGGTGTTTATTAACAGCTGTCTACGCAAAATACTTCAGATCCATTGGTCGGACACTATTAGCAACAACGTACTGTGAAAGAGAACAAACCAGATCCCAGTGGAGGAAGAAATCAGGAAGAAGCGCTGGAAGTGGATAGGACACATTGAGGAAAGCACCCAACTGCGTCACAAGACAAGCCCTCACATGGAATCCTGAAGGCCAAAGGAAAAGAGGAAGACCAAAGAACACATTACGCCGAGAAATGGAAATAGACATGAGAAAAATGAACAAGAATTGGATGGAACTAGAAAAGAAGGCCCAGGACAGAGTGGGTTGGAGAATGCTGGTCAGCGGCCTATGCTCCATCGGGAGTAACAGGCGTAAGTAAGTAAGTAAGTAAGTCTTCAACAATACAAATATCACAGTTTTACACCCAAACATAAACATAAATACACGCAAGTAAATCTCATGTTGACTGAATTGATCAGATTTATTTTAATCTGAACTGAGCTAAATGTATGCTGCTTTTTGTACTATTGAATTCGGCTATTTATTTCTTCACTGAATAATTGATTTATACTAAGCTAGAAAACGTTACTGATGTTGATATTGCGTTTATTGTGCTTCCAGAAGTTTCTAGAGGAACAAAATTATCTGAAAACCTTTAAATGAATTCGATTTTCTGTATACAGATTAGCATAAAAGTAGAGCTTTTACTCATACTTCACACCTGTTCGAGTTCAAGTGTAGAAGTACGCTAAGGATATTGGAAGAGTCTAGGGAGTAAATAAATAATTGTTAAATGAGAAGACTTATCACTAATCCAAGTATTAAACCATAGAGTAAATAGATAAGTGTCCCCGAATTTATGCCCATTCAATTTGTAACTTAATGAATAAGATGTCTTATATAAAGTAACTTTCATAAATTTACGATGAACAATATATTCAGCTGCATTATTCTATAAAACATAGGATGATATTGGTTAATGAATAAACGGACAAAGATAAATCAAAAAGTATTTTTAG